GTACCCCATTTAAAGATGGGAATACCCGCTATACACAGTCCGGCACCCAACTTGCATCTATTCCCAGACCCTGCCCAACAGAAGGTAATACCCTACTTTTCCCCTGCGCCAACTTACACACGTACCCAGTCCCACAGGCCCTTGGTTGGGGAGCACAAAATTGTGCTTATGCCCAGGAACCCGTCAGGCAAGATTTGAGTATCTCTAATACTCTAAAGGAAATAGAGGGTCTCACGTGAGCGTCCCACACGAGCCCCCATGCACGGTGTTGGGAAAGCGTGGAATGGGCCCACGGGCCCTGCCGGGAGCAGCCGAGCGGGACGACGCAAGAGGCCAACGAAACGGTGTGAGGCGGGCGGGGGACCGAATCGGTGCGAGGCAGTCGGGGCGGAGGGAAATGGGAGGGCACAGGGGGAGAAGCGGGGCCGAATCGGTGTGTTGCATACTGTAACGTGCAGACTAGAACAAGAACCGACCTCTCAATACAAAGTACAAGATAACACAGCGGAAGACTTAGATACTAATGATCCGAACAATCAATATTGCAATGCAGCCCTGAACACACATCATCATCATCGTTATCTGGTGTGAAGGGGGTCTGGCGCTTCACACAAGAAGACTGTGCCAGCCCCAACCATACACAGACGAAGAAGGAGGGGTTAGACAAAGAGGAGGGGAAGATGGGAATGTCGTCAACACCAAGTCTCGGCACAGGCCCGAATAGTCCCTCGTCGAAATGTCTGAATCCCAAATGTCCAGTCTGGATCCAATGTCGTCAAGTCTCAAGTCACAACTCTTTCTCTCTCTGTCGTAGTCTGAGAAGTCAGGTGGCGAGAGGGTGAGAAGAGATGGTGGACTTAGAAGAGGAAGAAGAACTCTCTCTCTCTCTGTGTCCAGTACTAACCTGTGAAGTTGGCGCCTTGATGCAGGTACCTCGAAGATGGAGCTGGAGCTATGGCGCCACAGGTAAGTACCACTGGCCGCCGCCAGCCATCTCTCCCAACTCTACGATCTACCACCTAATAGCGCCCAGCGCTGAAGACTACAGCTATGGCTATGGGCGCCCAGCGCGCCAGCCATCTCTCCCAACTCTACGATCTACCACCTAATAGCGCCCAGCGCTGAAGACTACAGCTATGGCTATGGGCGCCCAGCGCCGAAGACTACTACTAGCGCTAATACTACTGCCTAGCGCTGAAGACTACTGCAGCGCTCCTCCTGAGTGCTGCGGCCGAATCCTGAAGACTACTCGTGCCTACTGACAACTACCTACC